TATATGAGTATCTCTATATATATATATAAATATATATATATTAGGTGCCTGTTTATACGGATGTTTAGACGTGTGTCCAGCTGCACTCTGTGTGTCTCTCTGTCCGTCTGGTGTGCCTCTCTCTCTCTCTCTCTCTGGAGTGCAGCTGCAGTTTGCTTGTTCCGGTGTATCTGGAGGCTTCCATATCGATCGGCCTACTTATAGTCGCCATATTGTGGCCTATATGCGGGGCAAACACACACTCACACACACACACACACACACACACACAGTTACTACGCACAACATACAAAAGGTGCCGCATACAACGTCGATGTTCCAAGGTTCCCAATTGTGGTTGTGGCTGTTGTTTCGTTATCGCCTCGTACAACTTTTGCAAATGACGTCAAATGTTTCGGTGCGAAGAGCACAGCACACAGTAATATACAGATAGAAAGAGAGGGAGCGAGAGGGAGAACGAGCAAGAAGCAGAGCAAAAGAAATTTCAGTATACAGTGATCGCTCGCTAATAAAGGAAACTTCCGCTAATTACGATTGTTCCAAAAATAGAAACGTAATTTGAATACATGCGCCGTACATAGATGAAGACATTTTCCAGGTATATCGTTTATATACATTGTATACGTATGTAGGTAATATCCGTATCAGAAATGATCTAAATTTATGTGTCGATATCTCGATATGTATTCGCCTTTCTAACTATTTGAGTCCATCTACTATATATTTCTCCGTCTGTCCCTTTATCTTTCCAACTATTCTTTTATTCATATAAATATTTCACATTAATTCAAATATCTGTCAACTTAGTTTTCTATCTCTTATCTATCTATCGATCCATCTCTCTATCGATATATTTATATATCTATATTTCTATCTATATTCATCTATCTTTACATATTTCTATCTATCTTTCTAACTATTTATCAGTGCAATTATTCATCTATCTTTTTTTTCGATTTATCTGTCTATCTTCTATCTATCGATCTACTTAGCTATCTATACATCTTTCTATTTATTTATCTCTCAATCCAGCTATTCCTCTATCTTCTTTTCCATCTATCTTATCTTCCATCTTTCTATCTATCTATCCATGTCTCTAACTATCTATCAATCCAACTATTCCTCTATCCTCTTTTCTATCTATTTTACTATCTTCCATCTTTCTATCTATCTATCAATCCAGCTATTCCTCTATCTTCTTTTCCATCTATCTTATCTTCCATCTTTCTATCTATCTATCCATGTCTCTAACTATCTATCAATCCAACTATTCCTCTATCCTCTTTTCTATCTATTTTACTATCTTCCATCTTTCTATCTATCTATCTATCCATCTCTCTAACTATCTATGAATCAAACTTGCCATCTATTTTAATTTCTATCCATCTTTCTATCTTCTCTTCAACTATCCTTCTATCCACTTGCTATTTTTCGTCCTCCTATCTATCTATCTATCTCATTTGGTCTCGAAGCATAGTGAAACATAGTGAATTTTCTTTTTCGATTTGCAAAGGTGTCTGGAGCTTGAAATTTATTCCAGTTTAGCTAGCGATCACTGTATTTGGCATTCGGTGCTGTTGCTGATGGAGCATGTGTGTGTGCGTGTGTCTATATGTAACTGGAGAGCTGCGTTTCCATTCTAGATACTCTATTGTGGTTGTTGTTGTTGTTGTTGTTGTTGTTGTTGTTGGCATTACCATTTCCATTATTATCATAATGCGGTTGTTGTTCGCTTTTGCCTTGCCCCCGACTCGGCTTGGGCCGTTTAGTTCCGATTTTGGTTTATGTTACGTATTCGAATTTTCTTGTTTTGTGGTTAAAGAGTTCGCACGCACACTGATGTGTATTTATATGTATCTAAGGTGGTTTCGTTGGCTTCGGTGGTTTTGCAAGCGAGCCGCAGATGGTGGTGCCGAGATGCCAGCACGCTCCTGCAATGCCTACTTAGATGCGTGCGCTTCGTTTGTTGTTGCTCTCACATACATATGTATTAAATTTAATCAATTTTGATTGATGTGTGCGTCAATGCAACAACCACAGTGTCAACGACAACGACAACGACAACGACAACCACACTTCGACAACAAACCCAAAAAAAAAGACATTTGAGGTGGAGCCAAACCGACTAGCGAATGTGCTGACTGTTTCTATAACTGTTCTTATGCAACAATTATTTCATGCTGCAATTTATGTGTGTAGAACATTGCTCAAAGCCGTTGGGGTCTGAGCTGCTGAGTCTAGGCCAAAAGGTCCCAGACCCTTCTAGGCTGCCAGCAGAGTCTTTCATATCACTAGGTTGAAGATGCCTAGAGTCTATTTCTGGGCCTGCTATGAGAAAGGTGTTAAGTGCTTGATAAACAACAAATACAGGCTATTGTGGAGTCCAAATTATTAAGCCGTTTAACTGGCTGAAAGTAAAAGTTAATTTAAGAGGACTTGAAGCTTTAAGAGGGAGAGATAGAGGAAGAGTAACAGAAGGGAAAAAGTTTAAGAGAAATCGTGAGAAACGCTTAAGGAACAGGCTGCCTGAACTCCTCTCTTTCCCTTTGTCATCTCACATTATTCTCTCTCTTTCTTCGTCTTTCTCAATGCCTTTCTCTCCCTCTCCCTTTCTCTCTCACTCTCACTTCTTTCTTCCTTTCTCTGATCCATCTCTCTGATCTAACTATGCCATCATAATAACTCTGTAGCTCTCTCCCTCTGTCTCTCTCTCGCTCCTAAGTGATGCAAAGAACTTGACTTTACTTGACAGTAAAGTCTCAAATATTGATACATTCCACAATTGGAAAGGGTATTCAGAAAGCTAATAGCTGCAGGTGCGTTGGCTTGTCGACGGGTCGTTCGGTGGGTCAATTGTGGTTGGCTAAGGCGCGAACAGGTTCGCAAATGCGCAGAAATCAATCAACTCGAATGCAGCAGCAAGCGACAAGCGACAAGCAACAAGCAACAAGCAACAAGCGACAGCAACAAGCATTGATTCTTAGATTTTTGGGTTTTTCTGTGCAGTTGTTGCGCCCGGTTGAGACAGTGCGTCTGATGCGTAAGTGGACGCCGCGTGGACGCCCGTCACATGTCGTGTAAAATGTCCGTGTGCGCACTCACACGCCCGCCCGCAGCAGCCGCCGTAAGCAGTGCGAATAACGTGAACGGACAGACAGGAGCAGCGACGTCGCCAACGACGTCGCCGACGACGCCGCCAACGCCGCCGCCGTCGCCGCAGGTGCGCATCTACGAGGACTTTGACAGGATGAGCGCCAAGGAGGTGTACTACAACGAGGCGGGCAAGAAGGTTACGGTCAAGCTGCTTCACTTCCCGGACGTTCTGCCCGAGGATATTGCCAAGCTGCGCTTCGACGACGAAGATTATCACAATGCCGACGCCGATGTGGATGACGACGATGGCGTCGATAGCGATGCAGGTCGCTCGGCCAACAGCAGCGCCGGCATCGGCATCAGCAAGACACCGCCCACAGCCGACAGCGAAGATGGCGACAGCGAGGCCGAGAAGCCTGACCTGGACGGCAATAGCAATGCCACATCCACCGGCGCCATCAAGAAGACCTTCCGGCGCAAGCTATCCGGCAACAATATGCAGCCGCGCAAATGCAGCCTGGCCTTCGCCCAGGCGCATGGCATCAAGCAGCGCGCCGAGAAGAAACTATCGATGCCCACCATCAGCATCACAGCCAATCCGGGCGAGCATGTCAGCCTGGCGGGCGGGCGCAAGCTCTCGCAGCAGAACTCGCTGCCCATGATGATGATGTCGCCGCCGCGGCGCAGTCATTCGCCGCTGGGTCAAAGCCTCTGCCCGGGTTATATACAGTACTCCAAGTCGCTGTTGGAGGTGCCCATGCCAAGGGATTATGGCTACGCCAGCAGCGATGATCTGAGCTCCGAGTGGGACTCCGATGTATCCACATCAGCAGCCTCGTCCGCAACGGCAACGGGCTCCGGCTCAGGCGGTACCGGTGGGTCCGCAGCAAGCGGCACCAAAAAGGTAAGACGAAGGCTGACTGCTCTGCGCTTATCCGGCATTATCCGGCACATTCAAATCATATGCTTCACATTTAAAGTATTTATCCAGTGCTTTTGTTGTCGACGCTGGAGCCATTCAAACCGTGTAATATATTTGGCCTCAAGCATTCTCTAATCTAAATACGATTCATCTGCTGTTTAGCTGAGCACATCGATCGATGTCGTTGGATACGCTTGCAAAAATGTATCCGGCGCAATTGGATAATAAACAGCAGTGATTCAATGCATAAACACCTTAATTAAGTGCTGATTTGATAAATATCCATCGTTTATCCAGTTGCTATTTAAGCATTGACGTCATTAGCCACACGTCAAGATCTATCCGCATCCGCAACTATCCGGTGTTCTCCAGCGCATATCCGATACTAATCTAGTATAATTCGACGTCAACTTTGTGCTCGCTTGAATCACATTGACACCTAGATTTAGTTCTATCCGCTGAAGTTGGACGCCATCTATTGCTATCTGATCTTAAACGGGCATATCGACATGCCGACCTCATTAAACCCGCCACAAGACTTACCGGCATTACTTGAGACATATCCGCAGCTTATGCGACGCCAAGCGGACACTTACAGAGTAGTTACCTAAGTACGTAAGCGTCATTACAGATGTTACAACTGTTACTGACTTCAAGAACTATCCGGCGTCATTCGAGACTTATCCAGCCGGCACTTAGCGCTTAAGCACTAGTTACGTAAGCACCGACGTCATTATAGATCTTATAACTGGTCCCGTTTAATGCCATAAGCTTTTATCGCCTCGTATTCTTAATGATGCCTGAGTGGAGAGGCGGGTCCATTGGGAGTGCTAACAATTCACGTTTTCGCTCAAACGTGTTATTTACGTGCCGCCATCCAGCGAACAATTACAACAGTCACTAGACTACGCGACGGTCTCAATGCTCTTCTCATTCTCAACTATCTTTTAACTGTTCCATTGGTTTGCTTCTTATCTTTTGACAGAGTTCTGGCTGGCGGAAAATAAGGAACATTGTGCAATGGACGCCCTTCTTTCAGACGTACAAGAAGCAGCGCTATCCATGGGTGCAGCTGGCGGGTCATCAGGGTAACTTCAAGGCTGGGCCCGAGCCGGGCACCGTCCTCAAGAAGCTCTGCCCCAAGGAGGAGGAATGCTTCCAGGTGCTCATGCTGGATGTCCTGCGTCCATATGTGCCCGTCTACAAGGGTCAAGTGACCAGCGAGGATGGCGAACGTAAGTCGCATAATTTCTATAAATGATTGACTGATTGACTGGTTGACTGATACTGACCCAATCGAACAGATTGACTGACTGACTTACTTGGCGAGTCGTATGAGTAGATGACGTAAATTCCTTGTGATTGATTGCATTACTAATTTACTAATTGATTGATTGACTGACAACATAAATACTGATTGATCAATTCAGGGATTGCCTGTACTTACGGGACAATCAGTGAGTTGATTGATTGGTTATTGGTTGATTGATCGACTGATTTATATTCTAACTGATTGATGGCTAGCTAAATGATTGATGGCAGCTCAAAAATATGATAGCTGATGGACTCATGCACTAACCAACCGACTGATTGATTGACTGATTGACATGATTGATCAAATCAGTGCCTTGATTGACTGTATATACTGAATGATCAATGCCTTCGACTTATTCTGATTGATTGACTGATTGACTGATACTGACCCAATCGAACAGATTGACTGATTGACTTGGCGAGTCGTATGAGTAGATGACGTAAATTCCTTGTGATTGATTGCTTTGCTAATTTACTAATTGATTGATTGACTGACAACATAAATACTGATTGATCAATTGCCTGTACTTACGGGACAATCAGTGGGTTGATTGACTACTGATTGCTGGTTATTGGTTGATTGATCGACTGATTTATATTCTAACTGATTGATGGCCAGCTAAATGATTGATGGCAGCTCAAAAATATGATAGCTGATGGACTCATGCACTAACCAACCGACTGATTGATTGACTGATTGACATGATTGATCAAATCAGTGTCTTGATTGACTGTATATACTGAATGATCAATACCTTCGACTTATTCTGATTGATTGACTGATTGACTGAATCGAACAAATTGACTGATTGACTGATTGACTTACTTGGCGAGTCATATGAGTGATGACGTATATTCCTTGTGATTGATTGCATTACTAATTTACTAATTGATTGATTGACTGACAACATATAGACAATATAAATGATTGATGGCTGCTAAAACATATGATAGCTGATGGAGTCATGCACTACCAATAGACTGATTGATATATGCTGAATGATCAATGCCTTCGACTTCTTCTGATTGACGTTCTAACTTATTAACTACTAACTAAAGAATTAAAAGGCTTAAGAGCTGATTTATTCGCTGTCTGACTAAGTGACTAACTGCATGATTGACTTATGGGCTAATTGATTGACTGACTGATTGCGTGCTATCAGTTAGTAATATGAATATATAATAATCGTTACTTTCAGTCTATCTGCAGCTGCAGGATCTGCTCAGCGACTATGTGCAGCCGTGTGTCATGGACTGCAAAGTGGGTGTGCGCACCTATCTGGAGGAGGAGCTGTCCAAGGCCAAGGAGAAGCCCAAGCTGCGCAAGGACATGTACGACAAGATGATACAAATCGATGCCCAGGCGCCCAATGCCGAGGAGCACGCAGCCAAGGCGGTGACCAAGCCCCGCTATATGGTCTGGCGAGAGACAATCTCGAGCACCGCAACGTTGGGTTTTCGCATTGAGGTAAGCCTCGCTGTGCCCACTCTGCTCAGCTGCCATAATTAATCGTCTCCATTCTCTAGGGCATCAAGAAGAGCGACGGCACCAGTTCCAAAGATTTCAAAACGACCAAGTCACGCGAACAAATCAAATTGGCCTTCGGCGAGTTCCTTAGCGGCCATCCACATATTCTGGTGCGTTTCAACTTATCTCATTAGTAACTCTATAGAGGGTATTCTGTCGTATTGAAGGACAAAGCCTTTGAAAACGAAAAAATAGACCTAGGAATGGCCTTGGTGTTTGTGTGCAAACAGAAGAACAGATCCCATCGAGACGTGGCCGTATGATTGCAGTCATATTGTAAACTATAAAAGCTGGAGACACATCTGAATGCCAATATTACGTACTTAACTTTTCCTCAAGAAACTCCATCTAGAGCAAAAATGATTCAATATCCGCATAAATAGCAGCTTTGAGCCGGCTTCACGGTATCTCCTAGTCGGACACTCCTCCCTAGAGCACTCTTAATGGCTTCATAGATATTTTAGTTCCGATTTGCTGATTGCACTTTCAAACGTTATCAAATATATGACTAGCCGAATATTAGTTTAGACTGCCCTTAGCCCTAATTCTCTGTTGTTCTATTGCAGCCACGGTATATACAACGCTTGCGGGCCATAAGGGCCACTTTGGCCGTCTCTGAGTTTTTCCAGACGCACGAGGTGATTGGCAGCTCGCTGCTGTTCGTTCACGATCAGACGCACGCCAGCGTTTGGCTAATTGACTTTGCCAAGACGGTGGCACTGCCGCCGCAGATGAGCATCGATCATTATTCGGCCTGGAAGGTGGGCAATCATGAGGATGGCTATTTGATTGGCATCAACAATCTCATTGATATATTCGTCGAGCTGCAGGCGGCCAATGAAATGGAGTCTGCAGCTGGCACAGTTTCCGGTTCCGGTTCAGGCTCTGGCTCTGGTTCAGCCTCCGGTTCCGGTTCGGTTTCACCAGCACCCGCTTTCAGCGGCCAGGAAGAGGAGCCCAGCAAAGTGTAAAGGGCAAAGCATAAAATCAATCTTACATATATATATATATATATATAGACTTATATATATACACTCATATATATACACATATATATATATTTATATAGAACTATTTAGTTTACGATTATACTGAAGCGTTCCATGGGGCTGCGCCCCGACAAGGACATTTCCTAGCACATTCCACAGAAATGTGTTAAAACAAAAACAAAAACAAAAACAAAACAAAATCAAATATCAAATATCAATTAACCATAATCCAAACTTAGTTGTATGCATATATATATATGTACTTTTTTTTGTTTTTTTCTCTCTCTCTCTCTTTAACCCGTTAAGTTTAAAATCAAAGACTGAACAACAATATGCGTATACCCATATATATATATATATATATATATATATATATAGATATATACATATATACATATATTCACAGATATACATACATACATATATACATATATATACATACTCGTATATATATAAATATATATAGAAAAATTCGCGTTGCTGTTGTAATTTGCACAGAAAAATGCGTAGCAAAAACTTTAACAACAAAAAGTTCAACAACTACTTACTTATAAATAATGTTATTAATTTGATGTGTATTCGATTATCTTCTCTAATAACTACCTACTAATTATGTGCACTATTAAAACTCATGTAAACCGTTTAACAATTAAAACATATTTTTTTTCTTAAATCTCAATGAATTTTTCGATTCATGTGTTTTAATTGGGATTGCATTTATGGCGCAGCCCTAAAAGTGAGCAACAAATATTTCGCTTCTGCTAAAGCCGACATCGTTAAAGACAAATCCAGGTTCCAATTGGCAGTCTGTGTTTCCATTGCATCCCTAAAAGTAGGCAACAAATATTCCCTTCAGCTTAAATCGAATGGTGGAGTGGAACCTTCACGTGCATCTTTTTTACTCTCTCAGTAGTTGCTGCACATACTAAAACGTGCCACAGAAAAGAGAACGGCTTATGCAAAACCAGGTTCTACTGACAGTCTCTGCTCTGCAAATATTTCTATTGCGCATTTATTCTATCCGCCTAAAAAGTAGGCAACGCAATTTTAACTTTTATTGCAGCTTCTCTTAAGTCGAAGTTATATTAAAGAATAGGATTTTCATTATCTAATGCATCTAATTTGTAGCATACTTTTTGAATTAATAAAAAATATAGTATCAAATAATTGAAATGTAAGTACTATAGTCAAACGGCATTTTATGCATAACGTTTAAGCACGCCATTTAAAAAATCAATCCCTGCAAAGCTTATTTGTGCTGTGCTTTTGCATTTTGCTTTCAAGCTGTGACCAGTTTACTTCTCGTGGCATACTGTTTGCTAGTGCACAAAAAATACCAAAATGCTGGTATTTTTCTTGAGTCTAGTAGTTTTAAAATCGCTTGCGTTTGGTGTGTTTTTTGCTTGCTCTGCTGCGGTCACATTGTTTATTAGTTAGTTAATGTTTGTTGCTGCGCGGTTGGCACGTCGCGCGTCGTTACGCGCACGCATCGAGCTGTTACACTTGTTTTCCGTTTTAAATGTTGGTTGCTGCATTTGCGCGCAGTTGACGTGCATTTCAAAAATATCAAAATAAAAAGCGTGTGTTGAATTTTTTTATTTTTTTTCTTCATTGAATGAAAAGTGTGGTAATTGTTTTCATCAAGTGTTTTGGTTTTGTTGCTGGAGTGCGAGCCACTGTCGCATTTCATATATTTAAAAATAATACACAGAAAAGCGCATACACATGCACGTGTATACATAGTCTTATAAATATATATAAATATATATATATATTTATATTTATATATATTTATACTTGTGTGAGCAGCGCCTGTGACTGTTAAAAAAAGTTTCTGGTTTCGTTGGCGCGACAAGAACAACAACAACAGCGGCACCAACAATAAATAAAACTTCAATATGCGCCGACCGGCCTTCATCGCAGAATATTAACAATATATTGTACATATATATGTGCATGCGTCTATATGTATGTATGTGTGTGTATAGACAACAACAACAACTGTCACGCATCACAAGGGGCGCGGGGGGCGGCACACAAATTTGTAGAAGCATCTCCGCCTGCTCTCTCTCTCTCACTGTGTCTCTCTCAAATTGCCTGCGGTCTGAGTTAAAGGCAAAAAGGCTAAAATAGCTCAAAAAATAATCACACACACACAGGCACGCACGGACTCACTGACACACAGGCACTCGGACATAGTGAAGAGAAGAACAAGGCGCGCGCGGGAGGGAGAGAGAGAATCAGCATTGAGCTTGAGCCGTGCGTAAAGAAATCAAAAACAAAAAAAGGCAAAGCAAATAAAACAAAAATCGTGATTAATACATATTTTTTTGTGTGTTTTGTTTTTGTTTTCTTGTGCTCTTGAATCGGGCTTTTGTTAAGCTTTTAATCAACAAAATATAAAAAGAAGGCTGCAGCAACAACAGCAGCAGCGACAACTACAACAACAACAAGTGGGAACTTAAAACTAAAACTCGACGTCGAATCAGTTTTTTACTCTTTTTTTTTTGGTCAAAGACAAGTGCAATAAAATCAAAATATATAGCAAATAAATGGCAAGCCGACGGAGACAACAAAATCAATATTCAAATTAAGCAACAACGACAACAACAACAAGAAGAACAACAATAGTTAGCAGCAGCAGCAGCAGCTATTCGACAACTTGTCGATAAGCCGAAAGATAACGAGCCGCAGCAGCTATAGCGAACCGGAGAGAGCGCAAACCGGAGAGCGACGGAGAGTGAGAGCGCGCCTGACAGAGTGAGAGAGAGACAGAGAGCGGTGGCAGCATCCCAAAAGGAAACGTTAACAACACCCACCCGAAAGAGGACGAAATCATGGGACGTCGCACGTATCTGAATCGCGCCTATGCAATTTCCTACCCCAGTCGCGTCGAGGGCTGGCTGGACGTGTGCGGTAAGCATAAACCCCATAAATTCGCAATCCTTAGGCAAACGCCCCTCGCCCTGCACACCCATCCACCCTGAATTGCATTCTACTTATGGCTATTTATAGATTTAAGTTTGCTCTCAAGATCCCAAGATACGCACGAATAGACGGCGAGCAAATGTGGATGCGAGCCAAAGTTTAGCTTGTCTTATACAGTATAAGATGTCGTCTTATACAATATAGGAGATGTGGAATTATGGAATAGTAAAATAAGCAGAGCTAATTTGAAAATGATCAGATATAGATATACTTATGTATATATCTGTATCTATATCTATCTATCTACTGACTGATTCTACTGATTAATGTATTATATAAATTCATGCCTTGATCCAGCTTGGCCTAGTTTCCGATTCGACTGATATCCAAACTTATGTATAAAGATCTTATAATATATATATATATATATATATATTAATATATATACTTAATACACATATATATAGTTAGTTGCCGCACTTAGTCACAGAAGAACCTAATGCAATACCATGATGCATTCGCTTGTTAGCTTTAGATATAGATTAGTCTGCATTGGCTGGGCATGATGAACAAATCTCGAAAGAGAATTTGCCAGGCGAACAATAGAGTTTACGTAATATCGTTGATTCTGAGGGATTGGCGATGAGGGATAAATCAGACATGGAAAATGTATCGAAGAGTGGGCAAAAATCTGATCAATTGATATAGGACTTAAGAGTAATATATATAAATGTTATTCGAAAAGTGAATCATTTGTTGATAGAGAGTATTTCACTAGAAAGAAATAGACGTTTCCATGTCACACTGAATCCAGATGAAAGTTCACATTATTGCATTCAACTAACTCTAAAGCGCTACCAACACCTGCTAATGGCATCTGCTGCTGCTGCTGCTGCTGCTGCTGAGCGGATGTTCGCTCCAATTTTCGATGATCGAAAAGGCAACAAAATGTGAAGCCATCAAATTCAAGAAAACCCATTAAAAAATGCTCAACCAGAACGGCAGAGGAAGAGGCAGGAAAAGAATGATAGGAAAAAGTGAAAACTTTTAAGTTTGAGTCAACATTTTGCATATTGCTTGACAACCCTAAAGTGGCAACTCTATGTGCAGGGTGGCAGCACAGCTCAGCTCAGCTCTGTGTTGCGGATGCTGTTGTGTTTATCTAGCTCTGCCTCTCTGCCTCTCTCACTCTCTCTTTGAGCACCTGTGCAAATGCAAGCAAAGCTGCTTCGCCTGGGAAAACTCAACAGGGCTGCCTCTCAGCAGCAACAACAACAACAACATTAGTTTGGGCAGCTTGTCACTGTTTGTTGTTGCCGTTTGCCGTTATCTGGTATTAGCATTTTTACCTGTCGCTCATCCGCTTCACTTTATTGCAGTTGTCGTTGCTGCTGCTGTTGTTGTTGCAGTTCGAGGGGTTGCTTGGTACGCAAGGCCAAATACACAAACACAAAAACACACACACACACACACACACGCACACAACACATATACACACTAACTAATTCTCTTTTGAAGCTATTCTTGCATTTCCTTTATGCTTATAAAATTCTTAAAAAACAACAATTTCTATTCATCGATAAAGCTATAAAAATTTAAAAATATAATTAAATATAGTATAGGTATGGCTTATTCTATATGAATTATAATGATATTAAAATATATATACATGTTATATATATATATATATACATATATACAGTGGCACTCATGAATATATCAGTGCTGCCCTACAGTAAAATAAAACTGAACAAACCCATGGGGCAATGCTTAGACAGCTGTGGCAAGTGCAAAGCCATCAAACTAAGCAGCGCAAAATTCCTCCGAAGACAAATAAATATAGGCAAAGCAAATGATATGATGTTAGCCTAATGTTACAGTTATTTTTTGTCAACTGTTTTGGCAGCCACTACTATTTTTATGAACAACTAAATTTGATTAATTTGATTCACTTGAGTTAATAAAATAAATATTTTTATTTTAAATATTTTATTTTATTAATTTCAGTATTCGTATCAATTTGTATTCAAAATATTGTGCTTATCACTAAATGTTGCACTACTATTTTCGTGAACGGAATTGATGAATATTTCAAATGAACTTGAAACTCAGATTAGTATTATTACAATATGTTATTGAGTTGTCGAGATCGAGAGTTGTAGCAAATAAGATAACTTCACAATATACATAATATGTTTGATAAACTTGAAATTGAATTATATCAGCTCTATTGTTTAATAATAATAATAATAACTTGGAAGAAAACAATGCGATTAGCGCGCAGATAAAGCGCAAGATAAAT